AATGTTGGCCCTTGAGCCTGTGGACTTCACTGACTTCCCGAGAAGTACTTACAAAGAAGACCTCTGAAACATTTACTCCTATTTCATTACCTACATCATTTGTCATTACCTAAGTAGCCAGATGTAGCCCAGATATCATCTACCTGGATTCCTCAAGCCTTTCAGCTTTCCACGGTCAACTTGTTCTTGACAATATAATTTAAATGGAGTCAATTCACAATGTCATTCATGGACAGTGAGTTCCTTGCTTCCATCCCAATATTTTCAGTGGTTTCTTAGAGGAGGTCATGTCCCTCACAGATGCTTCTGCTTCTGAGATGATTCTTAGTTGGTTTCTTATAGGAATAAAGGAACTGTGAGACTTCAAAGTCACCTACATAACTTTGTATAAAATTTCTACTAGGTTATGTGAGGGAAAACATCTCTGCAAGTATAAAATGCTAGTGAGGGAAAGTATCATCTTTCCTAAATTAGAAAGTGACCTCAGGCCTCCTGAATGTTCCCAGGGAGGACGAGAGAGAAGGAAATCTAAAAGTAATAAAACACTATTTACTTCTTTCCTCTGGCTAAAACTGGAATGAAGTCCTGACAAGATTTTGAAACACTGGAACTGTGGGCAATCATAAAGTGGCAGGAGGAGAGAGGGGAACACCTCAGAAAGTTTAAGAGGAAATAGCAAAGAGAGGCAAGTGATTTCAAAAACCCAAGAGTGTCCAACACTCGGAGAGAGAAATTTCCTTTGAAGTTGGATGAGCTGTTTATTCCAAGGAGCATTCTTTCTTCACCCTTTTGAAGAAAGAAAATGAGCGTGGCCTTTGTCTCTCTGTATTAGCCAGATGGATTTTTAAAGGAATAGCTGCCAGCAAATTATTCACCTACTTCCACAGCTCTGGTGTGCGGACAGTGTTCAGTCTGCTTTTTCTTACATTCAGTGTTTCCACAAATGTGTTCCCAGACTACTCTTAACATGATATTCACAGTTTCCGAATGCCGCACCCCCTATTCATGTGATCTCACCCTCAAATGAATCTATCTCTTACTTGGTTATACTAAAAGCCATTCTGACCAGTGAGACTATTTTTAAAGGGTAGAATGGAGTTTGTTCATCTGAAGTACTTTCTATGGTAAACTTTTTTTTTTATACACCATTAGATATCCCAGTCAGAAAATACTGCTGAAAAATGAGAAGAATGCCTACAAGTTCATAAGAAGAGTTAGATGAGAAATGAAATTAAGGAGGGATAAGAGCTGTAATCTGGGGATGTATAGTGATGTAGCTTGTTCTACCTGCTTTCCAGGGGACTGGAAAAGCATTCACAAGTTCTGTCTGCTATCTGTACTTAGGTGGAGGGTAGGCAGGTAACCTGATAGCCTGGCCTCACTTGGAAATGTTAGTGTTTCAAAAGTGTTGTTGGGTCCCCAGTCCCTAAGCCTAAGGAGATCTTGCTCTGAGGAGACAGTTGGACTCACAGCTGACAAGTGTGGCCAGCAGGGGAGTGGAGCCTGCACTATTCCAGGGCCTCAGATAAAGAGGGCAGGGAGCGAGGCTGCCCACCTCACAGAGGCCTCCTCTGCGATCTGTACCACATGGTCTGGGTGCATGACAAGCACAGGGCCCCCAACTCAGGGGATATCATGTTATACAGGGCTCTGAAGAAACAGAGGAAAGCAGAGCTTCAGGTGGGTAACTGTCCTGCACCCTTTTCCGAAAGAATGAGCCATCACGATCAAGTTATGGACAAAAAGGAGAACTGCAAAGGTCTGTAAGAGCACTAACACTTCAGAGATTCTCCTCTCCTCCTGAGAAGAGTGGAGCTTGGTTACTTCTGACTTCCTGAATGGCCTCTGCCTGCTTTATCCTTTAATAAAAGTGACTCGTCACCATTGTCTGGATGAGAGCTTCCAGGGATTATTCGCTAAGGAGCAAGTTTTAGGAAGATGGGTGAGCATCTTGCTATTGGTTGTCATGGAAGAGTATGCATGTTGGACAGTCATTTTGCAGCTGTAGTGCTCTATGCAAAACCTGTATACTCTCAGAACAACTTCTATAATAGATGCTACCATTATACCCAAAATGAATGGTGATGGTGTTTTTCAAGACAAAAAAGAAAATATAAGACAGTGAAACTTGTTTGCCTCTTTCGTCCATGTCTAGATTCATCTAAGCACTTTTATACTGATCTAAGTCAGCGAATCCATCATGCAAATGAAAAATAATAATAAGTCATCATTTAAAGCCAATGTACAAAATAACGAGCAGCTGGCATGTTTACAGCTTTCACTAAAGGATCATTTTGAATAGTGAGGCCATTAATGTCTGCCTCTTTTATTTAATCACAGGTTTTTGACTAGAAAAAAATAGGTCTTAACTGCATTACAGATGAGCAGACGGAGAAGGATTTAGTCTTTGTGTCAGCCAAATTCAATTCTAAAACCAGGAAATTCATCATTCTGACATCTCTTTGAAGACGCAGAGGACCTTTTGAAATATCTTTTAAAATGTGTCTTGTTTACACAAGGAATACATTTAGTAGGTGATATTAATTAGAGTGATAACTGATTAAGGCTTTTAATAATGTATCTGTAGCTAAATATACAGTTGAAACACTATTTTCCCAATTTTCAAGAATAAATATTTTCCCAATGATTTTGAGGCTTTTTTTTTTCTAAACAGATTATATTGAGGACTTTTTGTTCTTGAGTTTTCTTCCAATCTACATGGTAATGTTATAATGTTGCTTTACAGATATTATGTATCAAAAATAATGGAAAGAACTTTGTAAAGTAGAAAATGGGCATTCCTTGCTATCAAGATTTTTTTTCCACAGTGCATAATGGCAAGTTTATAATATCTTAGAGGAACACTGCATAAAGTAATTATAATAAAGCAAATGAAATATATTGTACTATCAAGATTTTAAAAATTATCCTAAGTAGTTATACAAAGGGTTCAAATTCAACATGTCAGTTTATGAGTGCACTACATCTTTATCATTGTCTGCCATTCCACCGTTCTCTGCCACATATCTCTTCCAACTCCATCATTCCCTCAAGTTATCTGGTTCCAGTTTTACTTATGTACATTGACGTGTATCTACCCATCCTTTTTTTCTCCATTTGTGTGATTCTCTCCCCTAAAGCTCCTCCTCCTCAGTCAAAGCTTATTAAACGTATTTTTTTTTTCAATTAAAAGTTTTAAGCTGAGGCAAGAGGATGAAGGATCGCCAGTTTAAGGTCAACCTAGCTAGCTACCTGGCCAGACCCTATCTTAAAAGAAAATGAAATAAAGAATGGCCAGACATTATGGTATATATTTGTAGTCCCAGCACTTGGAAGACTGTGGAGGATTTCAAGGTAAAACCAGTCAGAGCTATTCAACCAGATGAACTCTCAAAAGAAATACAAAGAAGCAAACAACATAGTCGTAACTTTTAGGAAGTGTGGTGAATGTGGTAAACATTATGAGACTATGCCTACAAAGTACAGTTTTAGATAATGACAACCTATTATAGTCTTCTATTTTGAGATTTTTATATGTTTAAGATGATATCTAAAGAACCTGATGACATTATGTCCCATGAGTGAAAATTTTCAATTATATCTTTAATACCATTTTTCTCATGGTTTTAGAGTGATAGAAATGCAAACGTACACACAGACATATATACATACATACATACTTATGTATACATAATAATGTGACTCTGTTAATCCTTGCAAACTCCAGGGATGACAAAAAAACAATTGTGCAATAGAACTTCTAAATGGAAAAGTGTCTTCATTTCCAAGAGAATGAAAGGCTCTTGTGGAAATGTGTAGTCGAGACATGACAAACTGTCATCTACTCAAAAGCCAAGGCTGTGGGTATGACTGTGAGCCCTGAGAAGCCTCCATTTCACATTTAGAGGACATGTTCTCTCATGTGCTTTTCAGGGGAGGTTTAGACCAAGAAACAAGGGCTAGCAAAACACAGAGAAGAAATGCTTTCTAATCAGCTTCCTAGCGGTTATGTGATCCTTCATCCTTTATTTCCTGCATTTATCCCACCTCAGGAAGGAAAATCCGGGAGTCGGATGGGATAGAGAGAGAGAAGGAGGAAGGGAATAAAAGGAGGAGAGAAGGGAAGATAGAATATGCAAGGAAAGAACAGGGAGGAGGGAGAACAGTCCAGAGAGGGAAAATGGCTGGTCTCCTAGGCAGGAGCAACCACAGCCCTTGCCCTTTGACCTGAGGAGCCAGCAAGGTCAGGAGAGGTTCATTCGGGCCTGATCAGCACACTAATAGCACAGTGACTATTGTCAGCCTAGGACCATTTCCTCCATGATTAATATTTGTCTTGATTTGAATTTTGATAGAGGGAGAAAATAGAAAGAGACCTTGAGCTCTGCCTTGAATAATCCACCAACTGATTTGAAACATAAGCCAAGCATAATAACCCTTCCAAAGAACATTAGACTTACGTGTGTGTGTGTGTGTGTGTGTGTGTGTGTGTGTGTGTGTGTGTTGTGCTCCTAGGAATTCAGTGATCTTCACAGCTAACTTCTGTTGTAAATAATATTATAACCCCCTATTTTAAGACAAATTGAAAAAGGTTTCTAGATAATCGTTGGAGGTGTGGTACAGGAGTTTAGTGCCACTGAACTATAAAATCCAGATAGATATATTAACTTTGGTTCTATAAGGTGTTTTAAATGACCCAAATCTCTGAAACACACAGTAAGCAAGTCTTAAATATTTTGGCCATCACCTTTTCTTGAAGTTTTCTGAACTTCCTAAGAGATGAATATTCTGGAGATCTTAATTTGTGAAGCAGTGGGTAGATTTTAATAATGAAGCTTGGTCTCTCCCAGAGCTTCCATTTGGGGGTAAACCAAGAATTTGCTCTTGCAAATGTCTGGATGCAAATGGCTATCAGCAAGTGATGAGATGAGATGGGCTGAGTGGAGAAACATTGGGATTGGAGTTGTCTGAGTTGTCATCTCTCCTATGCTCTTTTCCAGGTGCTTCATCCCAAACACCTATGCAGCTCTGTTCACCGCGGCTCTGGTCCCTTTAATGTGCCTGGTGGTGGTGTTTGTGGTATTCATCCACGCCTACCAACTGAAGCCCCAGTGGAAAGCATACGATGACATCTTCAGAGGAAGAACCAACGCTGCAGGTTTGAAAGCAACTATTTTTGCACTTTGGAGATGGGAACTTTCCGAGGGGAAAATGTCACTGAATATTTTTGTATTAAAAAATCAAAACAGTGAAGTTGACTTCAGCTTTCAGGTCTGCAGTCCTAAACTAAGCCAAAGCTCTCTAGTATCTTCTACTTTTTGGTACTTCAGGCGGAATCTGTAGGTTTTATGGCTAGTGCCAGGTTTTTTTGTTTGTTTGTTTTTTGTTTTTCCCCCCAAAAGGTGTTAATGTCCAAGTGAGTCACAGGCTTTTTGGGAGCTGCTTTCCAAGCATTCTCAACTTAGGCAGTCACAGCCCGCATTCAACCTGTGAAGTCCATTTATTTCCCAACTTAAGGGCTCAATAGATATTGTCACTTACAAGCTGGAAGTCTAATAAGAAAAGTTTTCTAGTTTCTTAGCTGGATCAAAGAAGATGTAGAAACAATTTGCTTCACAGTGTTCATGAACACTATATTTTGCATGTGGCACTCCATTGCGCTGACAGATGTTTAATAACGTGTAATCAGACAGCTTCGTAAGTGGCTACACATGTCTGCTTGCTTAAGAGTGCAAGTCTTTCCAGCTCAAATTGGCTTTCCCTGTAGTTCATTTTTTCCCTTTGAATCATACTTAGCACGAGTTTTTATGATTTAATTCTTTTGTTGTTGTTGTTGTTAGATTCAAGTCTCCTAGGAATTTTTTTTCTTTTCTTATTTTCCTTTTTTTTATGTCAGTACTAGCATTCAAACTCAGGGGTCTCTCACTCTTCCTGACTCCTTGGCTGGAACTCTATCATTTGGGCCATGACTTTAGACTTGCTTTTTGCTTTTGGTGGAAATGGAGTCTCAAGACTTCTTGCCCTGCCTGGTTTTAAGCTGTGATCCTCTGAATCTCAACATCCTGACTATCTAGTATTACATGTGTTAGCCATCTGTACCTGGCAGGAACAATAACCACACACCTACAGATAGAAACTTTCACTAAACTATGTGAATAACTGAGATATTGGGGAGAGTCTTATGGATTTGGGATGAATGAATTGGGGTGAATAACCTTTTAGGCTAGTGATCTGTAGATCACTAGAGCTCTAAAGCCAAATTGATGACAATCTTGGAGGAAGTACTCATATTAAAGTGTTTTCTAGAGTTTAAGCAAGATATCATTTATGAAAACACTAGAATAGTGTCCAGTACATTATGAAGGGCTCAATAGGTACTGTAACTTAGAAGCTGTCATGCTAATATACAAAAAGTCTTTTAAGTTAGGTGCCAGTGGCTCACACCTATAATCCTAGCTACTTGAGAATCTAAGAATGGGAGGACCATGATTGGTGTTTCTTAATGTTTTCATGTGTGTGAGTGTGTGTCTAAAATACATAGTCTTGTTACAGAGCAAGACTGTTGTCCTTTTCTTTCCTTCAGTGCTAAGATGCATTTTTGTTTCACTGTAATGTGAAAGTGCCAGTCTTTGTATGTTACCAGTAGTGATGGCATAAAGGCCTAACCTAGTGAGTTAATCTTTTGAATGTCTACATCAGCACATGCATCTTGTGGATATGATCCTTCAAGGATACAACAGATAAAACAATCCTGTGATGATTTGCAACACATAACACTGAACATTGGCCATAATGCTAGGAGGTTTAGTACAGTTGAATTTCAATGAAGAAGCTCTTGTAATGAAATATTAATGAAAATATCACTTTATTGTACCTTTTCAAATAAAAGTATTTATGGTGTTTCCACTTTATTCCTATGACAATACAGTTCAGTAATTATCATCTCATGCTTGGATTCTTGCAACATCTCTCCAATTAGTCTCTCTTATTCTGTTCTTTTTTCTATTTAGTTATCTCAAATTCCCTATTTCAAAAACAGGAAGTGAATATCTTCACTCTCCAGCATTGTGGCTTCAAGTATCATTGCTAAAATGAAAAGTCTAGTCTCCACTTAGTATGGTGAGACATAGGAATCCCAAATACTGGAGCAGCAGAGATTGGGACAACCAAAGATCAAGGCTAGCCTAGGCAAAATGTTTGTGAGTTTGAATCTCAAAACACAAGCTGGAACATGATATAATTTCTCACACATAGAATCCTAACAACTAGTAAGGCTGAGATCATGGTCATAATACAAGGCCAGCCCAATCAAAAAGTTCATGAGACCCTTTGTCAATCAATAAAAAAGCTGGCCACAGTGACAAGATATGTCATCACAGCAACACAGGAAGCACAAATAAGAGAATCAGAGTCCATTCAAGTCAGGGATAAAGAGGGGACATGGGAAGGGGAAACAAAGAGGAGGCAACAATGCTTGATAAGAAATGTACTCGTTATCTTGCCCATGTAATTGTAACTCCTCTGCACAGTATTCTCACAATAAAAAAAAGAAAGAAAGACCCTTTCTGAAAAGTAATGAAATAAAAAAACAAGGGACATGGTTCAAGAAGTAGAGCATCTGCCTAATAAGTGCAAGGTCCTGAGTTCAAATATCAGAACCAAAAAGAAAAAAAATTGAAATTAAACCTGTAATCCAGTCAAATTGGCAGATATAAATAGGAGGCGTACTGGTGTGAGGCCAACACCTGGCCAACACTTTTAGACTCTATTGACAACTAGCTAAAGCAAAGAAGGGCTAGGAATGTGGCCCACTTTGTAGAACATTCGCCTGGCAAGTTCAATGCCTAATACCATCGAAAAGAAAGATGGATCTGGTTCCCTTAGCTTACATGAGTCCCCACAGCCCACTCCGGGCTCTCTCTTCCACCCCCAGTTAGTTACTTTTATCCTGCATTAAGGCCATGTTAACCTATCCTCTCTTTCCTAAAATTACCTGACACTTCCATCTTTGCTCATGTTAGGAACCTTATACCTGCCACAGCATTACTTATTACCTTATATACTCATTGTGATGGGGGAATATATGTATGAGTGGAGAGAGGCTGATGGGGCTACCACCCTCTATGAACTTCACTAGATCCCTAAAGCTATCCAAAAGTGATTCAAAGTAAAAATGGTGAATTTGATGAACAATTTATTTCCCGAGGCCTCATTTCATTGCTTCATAGAAATTCTGGAACTCTCACAATATCCTACCCTATCCCTGAAGCCTTTAAAATTGCCTCGCCACAGAATCACCACACCAAAAAATACTCATTCCCTCATCTGTGCTTTTCAAACGCTTGTTTCCATATAGCACTTGAGTGGTACCTTGGTTAGTGGCGTGTGGCTAATATTTTTTACTTAACTATTAATTCCTGAGGGTTAGGAACATTGAGTATGCAACTCTGTCCCCAGTCTCTTGCAGAGTGCTCAGTGAATAATAACATAATTTGTTGAATACATGAATGGATTAATAATCATCAGTGCACCATAAAATTCTATAATTGCAGGAGCAGATTCTTTAGCAAAGAAACATTGAGAAGAGGAACAGTTTTGCCATCAAATGTAGCGATTACATTATTTGTCTTGATCTGTTTGTAAGGTTTTTTTATAATTAGGACTGTTTTTTCTATTTTCTCTGAACCTTATGATTCTCAAATCATGTGTTCAGCTTGACTTCAACTTGATCTTTTTCTATTTTATTTGTAACTCATGTTCTCTTGAATATTCTTCACCTACTTCAAATCAAAACTTTTTAAGGTAAAGATTTCTACCTATACTGAACATTGTTTGAATCTTTCTATTAAAATTTAATTGCATAAATTTGGAAAATATTCAGACAAAATGACACTGTATATTCATGTTTTGCTACTAACCTTCTCTATATACATATTAGTTAAAGATAACATTCAACAAAAGAATAGTAAAAGGAAAACAAAATCTCTGTGGATGGAACTATGGGAGAAATACAAAATTGTGACATGGGTATAAGCCATAGCTCCAATGTTTCCTGGGGCCAGAAACATATGAAGAAGTGGGAATGTCTCAAGGGCTGTGGAGGCAAAATGGGAACTGAAAGGTCCCAAAACTGATAGCCTATTCCTATCTAGGTTCAGTCTTCTATAATTTCTATAGAGTTGTTCGCACTCCCTTTATAGATTGAATATATTTAGCCATAGTTTCCTTCACAACATTCATTTGTTGATCCTGATGAATGCAAGTGTCAGCCTCTTACGTCCCATATTTTGTGTGAATGTGGAATGTGTGTGTGTCTGTGTGTGTATGTGTATGTGTGTGTGTACTGGCAGGGGCTTGAACTCAGGGCCTGGACACCATCTCTGAGCTTTTTTGCTCAAGGCTAGCTCTCTACCACTTAAGCTACATCTCCACTTTGGCTTTTTAGTGGTTAATTGGAGATAAGAGTCATAGGCTGCTTTTGAACTATGGTCATCAGATCTCAGCCCCCTGAGTAGGTAGACATCTGGCTTTAAACTCTCTTAATCTGAAGCAGTGTTCTATAAAATCAATCAAAACCAGATGAAAGGCTTTAAAGAACAAAGACAAAGCTCTTAGAATGAAATATACTCAGTTCCATAGATGGATCACTTCCTCCCCTGAGCTTGACTCTAGATAGCAAAAAAGGGTAGTTTTAGAGCCCCATGGCTTTCTGGATTTATAAGAATGGAGCTTTTGAGCATCAGTGATTCCTATGAAGAGTCATTAGCCTCCTCCTCCTCCACTAGGGAGCTGATGAGCCACCACAATGAGTCATGATGAAGGTGTACTAAAGTGAACTGAGCTAAATTTCAGTATCTCAAAGAGCCTTGTATACAAAGCCTATAATTTTCAGGTTTGGATTTGATCTTGGGCAATGATAAGCTTGTCTCTCTTTTTAGACTGGCTGACTCATTGGGCAGTTCTTATGTGAAGAATGATTCACAAACCAGGGAAAGAAAATTAATTTAAATAAAAAGAGGAAGTGGGTGATTACAAATCTCTTTGATACAAAAAAAGCACAAATAGGTTTGAGTATTCTGCAGATACAAACTAAAAGTGATGAAACTATCTGTGTAAAAAGTGGGTTCAAGGTGTTTCAGATCTCTGGCTACTGTGGTG